CCGTAAAGCGAGTTTACATATTAATGCAGATGTTTTAAGCCGCACGAAACTGCCAGATAAGCCATGTGACTATTTTAACATAGCGTTCAGTTAGCCGATTTGCTACAAATGTGGATGATGTAATACCGTTGCCTTATAAGTCCGGTATTAAGCGCAATTTACTTTTGGATAAAAATTCAACTGAGGAACCCGTTAGCATAACAGTAACAGGGTATCCGAATGACCCACGAGTAAGCGTTGTAACTATCGAGGGAATTGATGACGACACAGATGGATTTCTTTAAGTGGAAACGATTAAAACGGCCCAATATAATAATTTTTACTTGGTTAAACTCTGGGATTGAACCCGAAGAAAACGATTTAATATTAAAAAATCCGCAATAAAACATTACTGGATTAACCGGAATCTATTTGTTTTGGATGAAAACGGCGTTCTACGTATTAAACGACCTAGTAATTTGTCAAATACTCAACTGGTTGTCCCGGAAGAGTTAAAAATTGAAATTTGTCAATTGTGTCACAACATTCCATTGTCGGGTCATCAGGGCATTCAAAGAACAAAAAGTCGAATTAAGGAACAGTTCTATTGGATGGTATGAAGGATTATGTACGCGCTTATGTACGCGCTTATGTCACTTCTTGCGCTATCTGTAATATGAATATAAATACACAAGCTAAAGCGCGTTACAAATTGAATAAATATCACGCTGGTTCGCCAATGGAGAGGGTACATTTAGACTTTTTGGGTCCTTTACCAGTTACGAAAGCGGGGAATGAATACATCTTAATGATGGTCGACCAATTTTCAAAGTGGGTTGAATGCGTTCCTCTACCGTCCCAAACTGCGTAGATTTCTGCCAAGGCAGCAGTTAATAATGAATTCTTTTCGCGGTTTGGCTGTCCGTTTCAGGTTTTCACCGATCAGTGGAGGAATTTTGAAAGTCATTTGTTCACTGCATTGTGCCAAGTATTACAAATACATAAGGGTCGCACTACACCCTATAGACCGTCTTCTAACGGGCAAGTTGAACGTTATAACCGTACTCTTATGGAAGCTGTAAAATGTTATATTGGCGGGTGTCAAAACGATTGGGATATTTATTTACCGCAACTTGCCAGCGCTTTGAGGTCGAGTGTCAATAGACAGACGGGATATACTGCTAACAAACTTATGTTAGGTCGGTATGTTAATCATCCCGCTGATCTGATGTTTAGTTCACCCGTTGAGAACGCTGGTCATATAGATTCGTTCGTTTCCAAACTCGAACAGGCTTTAATTGAAACGCATAAATTAGCTGCGATAAATTAAATACGAGCCAAGAACGAATGAAGGGAGATTATGTTTTACGTTCAAACGTGAAACGATATCAATTACATGATGCGGTTTATATTTTGGTCACCGCTACTAAAAAGGGGAAAAGTCGCAAATTATCCCCAACATGGAATGGCCCGGGAGTTATAACGCAAGTAATTTCGCCATATTTGTTCCGAATCAAGACACGGAAAGGTGAAACGGTTTTAAATCACGACCGTATAAAAGTTTGTCATGATAGGGAATTGTCGTCGTGGATTTTAAGGTTCCGTAGAAAATCGGAAACTAGTATAAATCTGATTGATACCGGAAATACCGATATTTATTGCATTTGTAGAAAACCCGATGACGGTCTTCCAATTGTGACCGATGCGATGAGTGGTTTCATTACCGCTGTGTTAATATAGACCCGGGTATAGACTGGGATGATAGGGATTATTATTGTCCCAGTTGTGCTCTGCAATTATCTGTCGTGACGTTAATATGAGAGGGGGGCGGACTTAACTAATCCAGTTACTGTCTTTACCGCTTTAACGGTAAAGGCAGTGCTAGCTTTTATTTTTTAGGAAATGGATAAACAAGGTAGACGATCATGGGCTCCTTACAATTCTGGGAGGCGTCGTCAAACTCTCAACAGACAGGGTTATCAAGTACCTATGGGGTTCCAGGATTTCACCCCAGCTCCGCAAACACCCACGCCAACTCCCGTGGCTCTGCCCTCGTTTGAGGGTTTTTTCACAGAAGAAATAGGGCCCCCTGCCATTGTTTTGTCATCAGAGAGGCCAGTCTCGCCTCATCCCGTAACCGACAACCCATTATTCCTTGAGTATACCCGGACCGGTGTAGTTCCCAGGCTTTCGGGAAGTCATCTAAATCGCCCTGGAGTAGTCAGGAGGACCCAGGGGAGGAATCAAACATGCCCTTTGTTTGGATACGGTTACAGGGATCGCAAAATTAAATTCCATTGTATCCGGAACCATCTTCAGGAATGTTTTTCGGACGATTATTCAACCAGCAGTGTCGTGGTTGTGAAAAAATTAGAAAGTATTGCAGTCTTATATAGGGTCTTGGGGGGTGACGCCCCATCAAATGATGGAGAGATTCAATCGGTGGAAGCTTTTACCAGAAGAAAGCCAGATCCGGGAAAAAGAGTATCCCGGCCTGAGCATTATGTGCTCCCTCAACCACTGGCCCCGGGTCGCCCGATTCTCTCTGAGACCATTGAATTCACCCGTCTGTCTGGCTTACTTATCGAAGCCTATAACTACCATTCATAATTTCTACTTTTCGCCTCTTCAAAACACGAAAGTCGAAAAGTCGAAAAGTAGAAGTTACGACAAAATGTGAGGCGACAACACGCTATACAGCCAAAATCAACTCGAAAATAGCAATAACACACAGCTACAATAGCGCCCCTCGTTTTTTCCAAATTTCTTATTTTCGACTTGCATTTTGGCTTGTATACCGTCGTGTCGACTTTCGACTTAGTCTTAAAACCTTCACAGATTATAAAGAGACTTAAACGGTAAATACATTTTGCGGACTTAACTTGGCTGCCAAGTAGGCTGGAAAAATTCTACAGTACCAACGTTTAAAAGTATTTCACCTTTATTCAGGGTCGGATCCAGGAATTTTTACAGGAGGGGGTTTGCCAGGTTCCTGAGACAATGTATCCCCTCCCCCCTCCCGCATGATCTCTATGGTCATTTTGGCGTATATACATACACATTGAGCTTTTTAAACAGAGAAATTCAACACCTCGTTTGATGTCAATTTTTTACTATGAATTAATACAATGACTTTGTCATTCAATTTCATGGATGCAAAGCATTAATTGGAGGGTCTAGAGCACAAGTGATCTAACAACCAACTAAAATGGTTGGTAGTTAGATCACTTGTGCTCTAGACCATCCAGTTGTGATATCACATAATGTCTATATCATTATCTCGTGCTTTGAGTGCCCATGCTGTCCCACATCTGACTATAAAGGATAAAGCACACAGCCGAGAAACTTTTCTCATAAAAAGTACTGATTTACAAAAATCAAAAATTATGTAGCTGAGCAGGGGGGGGGGGGGTCGACCTGGATCCGCCCCTGCAATCGGTAGTAATTAGAAACCCCTCTTTAGGGTAAGCAATATTAGTTTTACTCTTAAGATCTAATTATTAGTATTAATTAGTATTAGTATTATTTAAGCTGTAATAATAAGTATATTTCATACTTTTACGAGTATAGCTGTATTTCATAGTTCATTTAACAGAAGAGTTATACATATGATTTTATATTATCGTTATTATTACTTTTAAACCATGCTTTAATACTGTTTTTATACATTGTACTTATTATATTACTTGTATATTTGCAGAGTTTTTGTGTACTTTGGCCGTAGCCAATGATAATAAACTATTTTCAAAAGAAAGAACATTGTATGTGGTCATTTTAGCCCCGGCACTTGACCCCCTTCAACAATAACATTATTAATTTTGTCTGGTTCTAAAGCCTCTTTATCCTTTAAACAGCGAAGAATGTCGACGGCATCCTGGTATTCAACAGAAAGCAGTTCAACGCCAGTATCTAGTAATGTTAGTTCTGGAAGTGTGTCGTCCGTATCATTGGGTAATAATGATTGGTCTACTAAATAGTAATTATAAAGGTCGACTTTGTCTTTATTCGTGTATTTAATGGTATTTCAGATTTTAAAGGTGGGGTATCTTTAATAGTATTGTTTCCAATGAGTACAGTTATCCTTTGAGAATCCTCGATTTGGACCAAAACGTCTCTTTTCGCGCGAAAATGCTTTATCGTATGGCCATAAAAATTGGACCTTGAAGGTTTGAACTGCGTTTGTCACGCCGAAAATGCCAGATGCTTTCAGTACGAACAGGACCTCGACCTTGTTTTTCGTCAGATTTGGGAAGCGAAATTATAGATTCTATAGTGTTACTAAAGTTTTTCGGGATTGTCGTGCAGGACGGAGTGCCTGACAAGGACAGCCGCCTAATCGTTCGGATGGGACGCTGCCTGGGAAATATTTTCCTCCAAAGCACACTGCATGGCTTATGGTCGCCTTCATTTACCCAAATGGTGAAGAAAAGTGGGATATTAAACCACATTTCATTTCTTTCCCATCGAAAGGTGGAGTATTTTCATCTTGATTCCGCGGACTGACTGTCGATCGGAGAGGGGCGACGACAATATTCCACTACGTGAATATAATAATGATGTTCAATAAAACAAAACTAGACGTGACCTCGAGTGATTTACATTACTGAAGAAAGATTTTCACATTATCGATAATGAACAGTTTATCCCCTTTGGTGTAGTGAAGAGAAATAAAACGAAACTTTGAACTATATATAAACAACGGAACGGGATCTGTGTTTTAATTAGACTGTGACGGAATTTATTGGGACGGAATTGATTGGATATTCTTTCATTTACGATTCACTTACTTTCCAAGTAACATAAAAGTTCTTAATAAAACATAAACTTTATTAAATGGGCGGAACCACAAAAACATACAGAATGATTAACAATCTCAATCTCAATCTCTACTATATAACTAACATCTTACATACATAGTATACAAATATTAGTATATATTATTTTTAAATAAATATCATATTTACAAAATATACAAAATAAACAATATTATTTAAACGACATCAATTTCATTGATAAGACAGCGTAATGATTTACATAATGTCGACGAATTCGATGGCTATATTATTCAAACTGAATTGGTGCGCAAAAATAAATGTTGGGTAATATCACAAAGCATGTTAAATAGTAACCTAAAAAGTGGCTATAGCTCGCATATCTAACATTATATCACATCATGAAAAACTATTGAGAGGGCGCAGAATATTATTAATTTCTATAATAGTAAACAATTTAAGTTGTCAATAAGAAGAATGTTCCCAACACCACAACATGAAAGTTTCTATAATCTACAATTGTCACTTTCTAATTAATACTTGGTTTCTTCTTGGAAATAATCACAGCCTTTTTCTTTGGTGTTAAGGGATTTACTCTTTAATGTTCAAATTTCTATAAGTTACATTATGGTGCATGTCCTTGATTTGGGTTTTTCGTCATCTGCTCTAGTGTTGGAAGCCTCATTGTCTTCAATATTCTTTTCAGCTTGGTCTAGTTTGTCTTTAGCAACAATAAGCTGTTTTTCTAGATCGACAATCTTCTGATTTTTTCCTTCTTCTACTTCAGCTAAACTTTTTAATTTGCTTTGAACATCGTTAATTTTTTCTTCGTTATTTTTGCCCCAGTCTTCATATTTTTTCAGTTTCGTGACATCGCATTCCAAAGTTTTTATGTAATCATCCTGTTCTTTTCTAGAGGTATTGACGGCTTCGACTTCCAATTCCATCTTTGAATAGTCTATTTTAAGTGTATCAAGTTGTGATTTGAGAGAGAAAAAATCCTTTTCTAATAGTGTTTTATCATCGATGAGTTTCTGGATAGCTTCTTTCTGTGCTCCCTGATCACCCAATGACGTGGCTGTACTTTGTTCTCCCCCTGTATCTTCATCACCTCTCGTTTCTGGATCTGATTTGGGTCCTTCGGTTCTGTCTTCTCCACGTGATTCAGACTCTGCATCTTTGCTACGATTTTCTGAAGCTGCGTCCACAGGTACTATAGCGACCACTACCCCATCTTCAGCTCTTTCATCGGTATTTTCAACTGGGGGTGTTTTTTCTCTGGGGATAAGCTCCTTGTCTTGGAGCAGTTCTTCTACAGCTGCATCAACGTCCTTGATGGAGCTAGATCTACTTTTGGCTTCTTCGGCAGTGGGGTTTGCATTAGGTCCATCGGTAGTATCTTCAGTTTGGTTTGGTGTGCACTCAACTTCCACGACTGATTCGTTAACGACACCACATTCAGTCTTTTCTTCAGACGGCTCTGATGCTTTCGGGGTATTTTCTGTGTTTACTTCGGAGGACTCGGGTGCGATTGTAGCCTCCTGTGACTTTTCTTCTACGGTTTCCGGGTTTTCAGATTCGTCGGCTTTATTTTTTGGTTCTTCGGCTTCTGCATCTTGTTTGGATTCTTCTTCAGCAGCTAATTCGGAAGTTTCTATGCCTGTCTTTGTTTCTTCTGAAGATGGATTCTCGGAGTCCTCATTATTTGCTTCCTCTGCTGATGTCGTGAGAGGGGTTTCTATATCCGTGTTTTTTGCTGTCTCAGTTTCTGTGACTTCAGTAGTAGGGGTAGCTTCCGTTTCTGCTGGAGCAGATGTTACATTGCCGTCAACTTGATCAGCAACGGGTGTATTTTCAACTTCACTGGTAGACATTTTGTTGTGTCTGAAAAGATAAATTAATGTACAATTTTACCGGAATGTTTGTTACGTTTACTGCACTGTCCAATTTATCTAGGTTTCGTTTCAAAGCAGGAGATATTTGCCGTTTGAGAATCAATTTATTAGTTTTGTTTACTGTAGACAAGTAGGAAGTTTTATTTCGTTTTGGTCACAAGAAGGGGCATTAAATTTGTCTACATAATGTCCATTTTTGTTTTACTTCTCAGACACGGTGAGGTCTGTTTTCAGGTTCGTCTTTTGTCTGCTTTCAAGTCTGTATAAATCAATAACCGAGAGATAATCAAATATGCCGAGACACAGGTGGGAGCCACAGATGTGACAATATCGTTTTAATACAGTTATTATTAATGAAGTGTTAACTAGTGCGGTTTTATTTCACGTTTAAATATCTCATTATTACTTAAACGGTGAAACACATAGCTTTCTTACTAACTACTACAATTAATGAAGGATTAATTAATAGGACTTTATTTCATGGTCTTGCAATTAGCTAATTAATTTTGTCAAAAAATCTCCCTATGTCATGAACAAGGAAACACATAGTTTGCCTAATAACTTTATCGTGTCTTGCTTATAGCAAATCTAGGTTATATTCATTCAAGGTTACTGAATTCCAATAAAAACGACACGATTTCATTTATTAGATACATAATGACTTTAATTTGCTTGATATCGTAAACATTTGTATTTGATCAATGTTATACAAATCTTCATATATGACACTTTGCATAAAAAAATACATTTTTAAATTCTGTCAAAGCGGTTTTGGGTGGCTTTAAATCCCATATTTGTACGTGACAACTTTAATTTGCACACATTTGCATACGTCCTAAATTCAATATTCCTACAAAATGAGGTTCGGCAGGTCGAGTGGTCTGTCACTGAGTCAACTGACGTGGTTTTGAGCTCACACTATTTGCACGTGACAATGAGTAGTCTCGCCTGTCCGACCTCGTAAGTTTTATCCGGGTCCTTCAGTTTCCTCCTACGGCTAAATTAGCCTACGCGCGTGCGAATTATCGAAACAGAATTGAACCATATGCAAGCCCCGAAATGACCAAGTTTGTGTCGAGTGGACGTTAAACCCTATTTCTCTCTTTGTTAAAATATTTCATTTATATTTTTGGCTGATGTATAAAGAGCATTCACATCCCAGATCATAAGTTATGAGAATGATATTTTACTCGATGTAATTCAGAACCAGATAAGGTTAACTTTAAATTAAATAATTTGCTTGTCATAATGTATTGAATGGGCTTAAATGACAATACAATTTGACTTGTCTAGTATATTAAAAATTACTATTCTTACATGTTTCGATTAGTTACATTTCATATTAACTATGGGCAGCGTATGTTTATTTCAAGTTCTCATTTCCAAATAATGAAACGATAGGACTCAGTATTATAATAAGGTGAAATGTTATACTTATATCTGACAAGGTATACAGTAACATATAAAATCTAATAAAGTTTGGCTCTAAGCTTCATAAACTGTAAATTGAAATACAAATATTTGTGGGTGAATGTGTTTTGATCTATCCAAAAATGTCAAACTCGTATTTTATCTTCAAATTAAACACAAAAAATATTATCCGTCATCTAACAGAAAATAGAGAATTCGTAAAAATAATTGAGTTCAGAAAATAGCAATATTTCGCATGTTGTTTTTATTCCATTTTTATACGATGTATACTTATTATTGAATTGCAGTGCAAAACTTACCTATATAACAAGTATTATGAGTAGTTGCAGGTATCCTATAAATAAATATTATAATTTTACTAGTTTGTGAACAATCAATCCAATACTAAATGTTTCCAAGAATGAAGTTGATGGTTTAACTTTCTTTAAATAAGGTGAAGCTGGTAAATTTACTCCTACTTTTGTACCTATAGATACCGGCTTGTTTGTTGCCATACCGCTATTTTTATACGGGTCACCTAGGCAGTAAGTAATCCCATACTTTACAGATACTAAACGTCTAATATGCCATAATAGTATTTAGCTTTACGCCATGTTTAATAAGCATATAAAGTGGTTAATCTTTTGTTCCGTTAACAAATTCTCTTAATCAAGCTTGCATATAATAGTTTGATTTACCGTTAGATAATGAATCTGCTATCAACAAGCGGATTAAGTCATTGAATTATTGATTATATTAGTTTTGTTCCATGGTTAATTAATAAGATAATATGTGAAAATGAATGGACTGCCGTAAGACTAATATATAATCTATAATAATAATAATAATAATAATAATAACTAGAACTGCGACGCAGTAATGACGGGTTTCACCGGTGCCCCGTTACCCTTGAACATATATCACTTCCGGTACCGAATACCGATGAAACCATTAAACAGGTTTCCATATAAGCATTGCACACATCAAATAAAATGTACGCAGAATCAACCAAATCCAGCAATATCAATTCATTGTATACATTTGGTACATGTAAGTGATCCTGACAAAATTACATTACTTCCGGTTATAATGAAAATGTTAAATTAGTTTTATGAAATCAGAAATGGCATAAGGCATCACATGGTGCAAATTTTATGTAAATCGAATAATAATTGCCACTTTCATAGACCAAAAACCTTGAAAAGTGACTTGTAGAAAATTGTCGATTTCTCTGCAACCGTACAAGTTAGAAACCATTTCTTGGTATCTGTATGACCGTGTGGGTTCAATCTATTTGTTGATAGGAATGAAATATCATAATTTTAAAAAAATTACAAATCAGACTCATTTGAATAAATTATCTGTTTTAAAGGCTAAAAATACAGTTTTTGCCAAAATGACATTACTTCCGGTGATAATGAAAATCTTTAATTACTTGAATGAAATCGTAAATGGCATCAGGTATCACACGGTGTTTCTCCGCAACAGAACAAGTTAGAAACCATTTTGTGATATCTATATGATCGTATGGGTTCATTCTATTAGTTGATTGGAATCAAATATCAAAATTTTAAAAAAATAACAAATACGACTCATTTGACATTGAAAATGTTAAATTGGTTTGACCTAGTTAAAATTGACATTACGCATCAAATGGTGTCACTTTTATGAAAATCCAATAATAATTGACAATTTTACAAGCAAACTAGCTTAAAAAGTGACTCATACAAAATTGCTCATTTCTCGGCAACTGCTCATATTACAAACTAATTTTCACTTACATTTTCTTCTTATTGATTATTGCTACTAGTTTATGAAAGTTGCGAAGAAATATTTTAAAATATGAAAAGCCTGAATGGGTTGTGAATTGCTCATTTTTTCACTTTTTTCACCTTTAAATCGAAATGATCCAAAAACGAAATAAAAATTAAAAAAACTGAGCGCGATGATTTCTGCGCCTTAACAGGGCACATCCTTTCAGTCATACCAGATTTGAAAAAAATAATATTTGCTTTCAAAAAGTGGTACCGAATTGTCAAAATTGCAGTTTTTGCTAAATTTATGCCATTTTCGATGCCGAAAGGCAACTTTACCGGTAACAAAAAAAATATGACATTTTGAACCACGGAGCATATGAACTATGTTTTATACAAATCAAACAATAAATAATTAATCCAGGACTGAAAAACTAAATTAGCCAATGGGGGCCAAGGAAAAATACGGTGACAAAAACTGTTGCAATTTTTGGTCAAATCAGATCTAATAAAATATTCATTAATAAAAAAGTTTTTCGTTAAAATTTAAATTTTAAAAATTTGGCGCCTAATGTCTCCCAAGATTCGTCGAAAATAAAAAATCTAAAGAACTGTAGCTATGTCTCCGGCTATGTCAAAATGTATCAAATATAACAATCCGACAATTATTGATAACATTTCGGCAAAATGTCGAAAAACGACAACTTCGGTGATTTCGGACATTTCGCATTGTCGCAGAACGTTAGAAATAGCTTTAAAATTTAAATCAAACCCACTTTCCCAGTAAAACCGAAGACATCGAATCGATCCGACAAGTAGTTTCTGAGATATGCTCAAATGGAAAATTAATAATAATAACTAGACCTGCAAGCAGCACTGAACCGGCTTTCAGGAATCAGACAGGAAGTTTGTCATACAATAGCCCATTCATCGAGCTACCAAACGATACTTTAGATGTTTTGATGCGGTCACACCCGACGGCGAAATCACGATTTTTTCAAGAGCACCGATTTTTACTGGGTTTTTTTTTAATATCGAATATTTTTTCGACTACTTCCGGTTTACGGATCATTGTCGGGATAGATTTAACACGTTGCATGGGAACTTAACTTCCTGTTTCCAGAAGTTTCAGAAAGATCCATTGGACAGTTTTTAAAAGAAAGGAAAATTAGAAGATATTTAACAATATTTAGCAAATAATTGGTAGTCCGATACTAATGTGTTATCTCCCTTATACCATTAGCCCATTAGAAGAAGATATAACAATTTTTCAACTTTTTTCAAAGATTATTTTTCTTTTTGGACCATTTATACTATACTGAGCGACATGGAAAACGCATCACTTTTTTTTCCAAATATTTTATTACAAGGTGGTTTTGTATGTATAATATTATGCAATACTATGAACTATTGTTTCACACAATGCTCCCAAACGCAAAAAATATCGACCCGTGTGCACAAAAAAAAAATTGCACGAGATCCACATGAAAAACCCAATATTCACGTGCAGCATTGTGTGTGAGCCCTTTAAAAGCATGTTTTCAACTTAATGTGCAGTACATGAACTGTGAAACGTCAATCTGTCGTAATTTGTTGTTGGACGTGTGAAGGAATCGAGCTAGAGATGCCGAGACTTACTGAAAATCAACGGAATGAAGCCATGGGAATGTCCAGTGCTGGCATGTCTACACGTGCTATTGCCAGACACTTTTATGGACCAAAAACCTTGAAAAGTGACCTGTTGAAAATCGCCTATTTCTCCGCAACTGAACAAGTTAGACACAATTTTGTGAAATCTATATGACCGTATGAATAATATTAATAT